TACGTCTTTCCCCATTGGCCTCACAACTGATTTTGTTGCACTCCTTTGTATTCCTTCAAGGAGATTAGAGTCTCTCTTGAGTGTTGGAGGAGCCACCGTAGCACGGTTGCTCAACAAGTACTGGAAGTCGGTCGTACTTGCCTCATTTTTACTGATGTGCATTACTTTGCACTTTTCCAGGTTGAAGCTCAGGCCATTTTCCGACGACCAGAGCTCGAGTTGCTGCAAGTCCTTTTGTAGTGCTGTACAATCAGCTTCTTCGTTTACCACCCTCCAAATTTTTATGTCGTCAGCGAAGAGGAGGATGGGTGAGGATATTTTGTCTGGCAGATCGTTGACAAACAGGAGGAACAGAAGCGGTCCTAGGATTGCTCCTTGGGATACTCCTGACGTCGACGGTCTCCACTCCGACCTTATTCTGTTCACTTTAGTGCAGAACTGCCTCCCTTCCAGGTACTCCTTGAACCAAGAGAGTAGGGGTCCACTTATACCAGCTGACATGATCTTGTGAAGCAGTACTGTGGGTGGGACACTGTCAAATGCTTTGGCTAGGTCGAGAAATACAACATGTACAGGTTTTCTATTATCCCAGCTTTGTGTCCAGTCGTCCCAGGCGGTTAGTAAGTTGGTGGCACATGAGCGACCACTACGAAAGCCGTGCTGAGCAGTATGGACAGTGTTTTCCTATTGAGGAATTCCCAGATGGTGTCAGCTACCAGGCTTTCCAACACTTTCGACACAATAGGGAGTAGGGCAATCGGCCTGTAGCTGCCAGGGCTTTTTCTGTCTCCTCCCTTGAAGATGGGTGACAAGATGGCGCTCTTCCATTCTTTAGGGAGTTTGCACGAGTCTATTGAGTGCTCAAAGAGGTTGCGAAGTGGTTTGGTAAGCACCTCGGCGCAGTTTTTCAGAACCACTGGTTTCAGGTTATCGCAGCCAGGGGACTTGCCCGGACGTAGCCTAGATAGCTTCTCGAACACCTTTTTCTCTGTAATAGAGACGTGACAGAGGTATTCGTTATTTGCGACCTGGTCGGTGTCGGCGAGTCGGTGTGGATCTTGTGTCAGTGCTGAGTTGGGCTTGGAAGTGTGAGCTCAAAAGCTCGGCAATCTCTAGACTGCTTAGCACACTCCCGTCATGGCCTGTGACAAGATTCACTCCCTTACTGGTCGACTTTCTTCTTGACATGAAGCGGTACAGGTTTTTGGGGTTGCTTTGTAACCTCGCTGCCAAGTTTGTTTGGTAGGAAAATCTGTCGTTACGCACTCTAATGTTACAGAGATTGCGAATCCTTTTGTAGTTCAAGAAGTCAGACTCCCTGCGTGATGTACGCCACTTGAACCAAGCCTGCTTCTTGCTCCGGATAAGCCTCTCTGTCCCACGCTTTAACCATGAGGTTCTCATTGATTGTCTGTGTGTTACTTCTGGTACACTGTGACTGATGGCCCCAGTGATTATTTTCTTCACCTCCAACCAGTGTTCATCTATTGTGAGATGAGTCCAGTCCACTGGCCATGATGCATTCATGAGGTAGTCCCTCATGGTCTCATAGTTGGCCTTGCTGTAGCAAGGGAAGGTGTTGGGCGTCTCCAGTTGCAGAGCCTCCCTAGTTATCATGGAGAAGGTGATTACAGCGTGGTCACTGAGGCCAAGGGGAGGTTGGATGCAAACATCCTCAATGAGAAGTTCATCGTTCGTCAGAACGTAGTCAAGGCGCGATGCGTTTCCGTTAGGTCCCCAGCGTGTAGCATCACCCACTTTCTCTGAGAGGCCAGCAGTCTTAATTGCATCCTTCAGCTTCTGATTGAAGGATCTGATGCGTCTCCCTTCCGTCTCGAAGAGGATGGACGGGGTGTTGAAGTCGCCGGCAATGACTACGGAATCGTAATTTGCAGAGGAAGTCGTTAAGATAGCCTTGATGATCATTTCCTTATGTGTAGGGGAGCTGGTGGGGGACCGATATATGACTCCGAGCAGGTATTTGGTACTGTGGAGAGTGAAGTAGCACCATAGGGACTCTGGGAGCTGGGTTAAGGCCGTATCGCTAACCATCCTTGCCTTTAAACAGGAGTTTACGTAGATAGCCACTCCCCTCCTGCTCTATGTTCCCTGTCCCTGCGGAAGAGTTCCATGCCAGTAACATGCATCTCTTCGTCGGAGATGTCTGGCGAGAGCCAGGATTCGGTGATGAATATGATGTCGGAGTGCTGATGTGCACGCAGCGTCCTCATTTCTGCTACCTTCCCTCTTAGCCCCCTAACGTTGCTGTACATACATATTAGAGTGTGCCTGTGAGAGGGGAGGTCTGGTTGTGTATTTTCGCAGGATGAGCGCTTATGTGGTTGGGTCTACCCTCGCCAGTCCTCATAGGACTGGCATTGTTCCGTTTTTTGGTGTTTTGTTTTTAACTTGGGTGGGGGCTGTGGCAGTGGTGGCTTCTTTACTTGATGTATCTAACTCACTGGTCAGCGCCTGTGTGACGACCACTGACTCCAGAGGTCTTGGTGGTTGTCGTCTCTCCTCTTGCCTTGTGGGTCTAGGCTTACTTTCACATATACGTATTGAGCCACCCATGCGATCCTTCGCATTATACCATGCCTGTAGAACGTCTGTGAGGGAGGCATATGAGTCGAACTGGACGGCGAGTAGTCTGGGATTGGGTATGGTCTTCAGGTGCGCTGGCCTTGGCAGTCTACTGACGCTGTTGGCCGGTATACTGTTGAGACCAACTTTGGTTGAGAGCCATTGCCATTGTTGGACGTCGTGAAAGTACCGATCTTTGACCGAGCGGTCACTTGGCAATTCTGGAATCCCATGTACAACTATAGTGTTGTTTCTGTTGGGATTTCCAACCGCTGACTTTCTCTCCTCCTCTCTTATTGACCATGGCTTGTCAGGCCTGGCCCGAATTTTACAGGCATTAACAACGTCCGGTTGTCGCGAGAGGAGGAGTGTGTCTTCAGCCTCTTTGGTGGTATTTAGGGACACACGTAAAGGGGGTGGCTTATCTCGGGGTGCACGGCTTCCTCGAGAAAGGCGACATAAAGTTGCAGGGAGGGGAGGGAGTCCCAGCATCTGACAGTAGTCGGTCCACATTCGGCTGTCAAACCGTTCCCTCTCGACCAACAATGAGTCTGTCGATACATCGACGTTGAACAAAATGATCGAGTTGGTCCTCCTGTGACCTGGGTTCGTTGTGGGTGGCACGCCCGACTTCCCAATGGGTTTGAGTAATTCCACTGGTTGTTTCTCAGTCACGGTGTGTGGGGTGTTTGGAATGGGTTTCGTAGAGGCTTTAGCGGTCGATGTCTTTGGCCATACGCTTGACGTCCCCTGGGGCCGGGTAGGAGGTATGGAGACTTGACCTAATATGGTCCCCACGCGAGGTGGCGTGCCGGCAGCTGGAGCTCTAGGTCTGTTTCCAGGTCTCTCTGTGTTATCCTTTGGTGTTAACCCTACTTTATTCGAGGGTGCTGGTAGCTTTTGCGTGGCGGAGAGCATCTCCTTCAGGCTTTCTGTGCGGAGTGCGGGCATTTTCCTGCACTCTGGACAGATGTACCAGAACCACTTGCATGGTTGTCTCTTCATCAGCTTATAGTATTGTCGGGGGACTTTGGTGTCGCAGTGGCAATGCGCCCATCGTTGACATAGGTTGCATGCAAATGCCTCATCGACTACCGAAACAACTTTGGTGCAAACACTGCAGCCATCGGGTGTCGTAATACAGCCTTCCTTGCATGAATAAGGTGCTACGGATTGTGGCGAACTGCTTGTGGCTGCCTTGTTCTGAAGCCTTTTACGTCGTCTTCTATTTCCAGGCATGGTATGATCCTTGCTCAAGATAGGACTAGTTTGTGACGGGCTAGTGCTACTCTGTGTCACCTGTCTGATGGCTACTGGAATTCTAGAAACATGGGTTGGCCACTTCTTTAGAAGTTCGGTGTTCTGCCCTACCTCTGTTTGTCTTCTAGTACAGACTAGTGTGTTGTTTCGGGTGTTATTGGCCGTTTTTGTGCACGACCGCGTTATCCGTGTCAAAGCTTCAGACCTAGCGTTTTGGGCAGACATGTCGCTATGATATAAACTTCTTGGGAAAACAAGTAGTTAACAACAATAAGAGGGTTGAAGACTGAATGCAGCAAAAGGACAGAATAGAAAAGGGAAGATAATTTATGTTGGCTCACCTTCAGACACTTGTCACTTGATCCTCTGCTCTTGACCAACGAGTTTAACCGTAAGCTCCAGATGCGTATGTATAACCAGGAAAGATATTTCCTGGGGAATGACCTCCGAGGAGAACCGAGAGCTAAGGCAGTTTGGCAGTTGAAACGCCCAAGAACCACTGACAGGAGGTAGACCGGTTGGTTCAAAGGAATAATAATGCCAATTTTCAACTGTTGAGAAGTGAGCTGACGAATACGCAGGGGTGAGGTGCGTGGACGGACAGAAGTGCTGCAAACGTTCGATCTTTTTAGATTGAGTATTGTAAGTGGGAGTTTTTCAATGTGGAAAAATCCAAAAGCTGAGAGACGAGCGAAAACATGTCCGATTACAGAATGACAGAAGACTAAACTGTGCTATACAGGGACTTGGAAGATTACTTTGACGTGATCTATCTCTTTCTCTCCCCATTAGGTCTGAACACCTAAGAGGGCATAGCAGACGAATACAAAAGCAAAAGAGGAATGTGGTCTCCGTACAGTATTGGTTCTCCCACTGAGAAATAAGCTCTTGCAACCTACCCCTGAAAGAAATAACGTCCACACCGTCAATTGACTGGATGATTACAGAGGTTCACTGTAAAAAGATCACCATACCCTTAAAACATTTCATCCTCAAACTACAAATCTGCAGGATCATGATTCTGAACAATACAGAGAACAAAACTCTCGTGTCGTTTACAGTCAGACACGTTATTTAGTAATTATTTGCGGAAAATAATATTATGAATATTTTCACTTATTTAGTAGCGATAAAACATCCTGCAAAATTGCACTCACCATCGTTATTTCCACCAGCAGAGTCACTTTCAAACGCGCGATTTATTTCAGCTCTTTTTGTTTCTTCTCTATGAATAACTTTTCTGTACTTCTCGATGGCCCGAAGACGACTGGAAGCACGAAGAGAAGTTCGAAGAAATCGACGCTCTTCTTCCTTCTCTTTCTCTAATTCCTGTCTCTTTCTAACTTCTTCTGCGTAGCATTCCAAAGTATGATCTATTTTTAGGAAGATTACTTAAAATGCACCATCTTCAAGCCTTACCTTCCATTGCTGAAAATCTGTAAGCATAAGGTCACCAACGTCAACTAAAAGTAGCGTATTAAGTGAAAATTTTACGTTTCCGGTTAAGGTTCCAATATCCAATATCCAAAATTGATATATCCAATATCTAATATTGATAATACGAGCGTGGAAAACTCGTAGCTTATGATCCCTCGCGTCTAGTTCTTAGGGCTTGGTTCCAGTTGTTCGGTTTACTCCTGCGGTGGACGAGGAAATCCCCTCCGCCTTCTTGCTTTTAGCCTCAATGAGGTGGATGTTTTGTGGGTTAGTAGGTTGTAATTTGTAGGGTGATTAGGGAGCTACGGGTTGCTAAGAAGTTCAGAGAACTGCCGTGACTCCTGTCTGTGTATGTACCTGAAAGAGAATAGTAAGGTAGTGGTAAAGGAATGAAGAGAGAATAAGGAAGAAAAAAAGAGAGGAAAAAAAATAATAATATTATAGGGAGGAGAAAAGGGAAGGAGAAGAAGAGGAGGGATGAAAAGAGAAATGAGAACGAAAGAAAAGTATTTGTGAATTGCGCGAATGGTCGCGTGTGTTTGGTTCCTGCAGAAGAATCAGTGGGTAACGTGGGTGTATTGAGGAGAGAGATAGTGAGTGGTAACTACGGGGGAGTTGGGGGGTACTGAGGTTGGTGACCACCCGAGTACGTCCGTGGTAGTCCATGTGAGGTGACATAACTGTCTAATCGCCTCTTGAAAGAGTCGACTGAAGGAGCTATAACGATGTGTCGCGGTGAGGCATTCCATAAAGCACATACTCTTAGGGAGAAAAATTTGGACCTGAGTATGGTGATGGCTCTCTGGTGTGCTATCTTAATGGGGTTTCCTTGTGAAGATCGTTGAGTTGCAGGCAAAATTGATTGTTTGCATGGTCTGCCTGATGGGCGATCTTGTATGCCATAATGAGGTCACCCCTTTTCCTGCGATAAACCAAGGTAAATAGGTTTGAGTCCTTCGAGATACGTCTTTCCCCATTGGCCTCACAACTGATTTTGTTGCACTCCTTTGTATTCCTTCAAGGAGATTAGAGTCTCTCTTGAGTGTTGGAGGAGCCACCGTAGCACGGTTGCTCAACAAGTACTGGAAGTCGGTCGTACTTGCTTCATTTTTACTGATGTGCATTACCTTGCACTTTTCCAGGTTGAAGCTCGGGCCATTTTCCGACGACCAGAGCTCGAGTTGCTGCAAGTCCTTTTGTAGTGCTGTACAATCAGCTTCTTCGTTTACCACCCTCCAAATTTTTATGTCGTCAGAGAAGAGGAGGATGGGTGAGGATATTTTGTGTGGCAGATCGTTGACAAACAGGAGGAACAGAAGCGGTCCTAGGATTGCCCATTGGGATACTCCTGACGTCGAGGGTCTCCACTCTGACCTTTTTCTCTTTACTTTAGTTGAAAACTGCCCCCCCCCCTTTTACCTGTTTTCGTATTTGTTTTCGCGGCTGACTTCTCAGTGCGTTTCAGTATATCCGCTGGCTTTTTCTCTGTCACGTTTTCTAGGATTTTTGGAGCGGATTTCATGGATGTTTCGGCGGTCGATGTCTTTGGCCATGCGCCAGTCGGTCAGTCACGTATCCCGGAGTGATGATTCTTTTTGGTCCTGCCTCACTCTCGAGGGTATGCATTCCGAAGCACATTCAGGACCATCATATTAAGTTGATGCCGGTCAGGGAAGCTATTTCCTCTTAGTCGTCAATGTATTCTATCTATTGGGTCACCGGGTACATCACAGGCATCGCAGTTTGCACTCTATCTTTGAAAACACTATATAAGGCGCACAAATGTACTTAGTATTTGGCTCAGTAATTTGAATAATGGTGTCGAGATGGAGAAATTAAAAAAATTTCACATTCATAACATTACCACTGAAAACAAAATCTTGTGTTTTCGACTAATCCCCACAATCCACATTCAGTTTTGAATAGTGAACGAAGATTGTCTGGAGTATTGAGTTTGACCCTGCTCCCACAATTGCCGTGAAAATAATTGTTCTTGTGTTTTTGTCACACATGACGCTGTGGAATCTTTTGTCACTTTGGTGTTCATACTCTAGAATTCGCGTGACTTTTTAAGACTAATAGGTACTCCCAGTAGTCAAGTGAATTTTTGTATCTCTCCAAACTTAAATATTTCATATTCGGAGGAGTCTATCGGGAATATCCCAGTCAACCCGAACAAACTTCAGAAAAATCAGACAGCCATTCAGTCCTGAACTCACAATTGGAAAAACCAGGAGTATTGCCTACCTGAAGCTTATAAACTATCTCCAACTACAGGTTTGGGGTTGTTGGTTATTTTTTGGTTACCGTCAAATATAACTCCTGAGAAAACATCATTTCCTGTTTCACATGCCCATTTTCTGCTCTCCGCTGGAACTACTGATCAGGTATAGTGGACCAAATGACCAGTACCTGGAACTAACCCATCCACAAGTGCCCTTAAATCCGTGTCGTCTTCCCCTAGTTTTCATAACGGCTATTTTCACTACCACCATTGCTACAGTTTTAAGGCTTTCTTGCCGCGGTCCGAAAAGTGTATTCCAGGCATTGAAATAGATGAGGAAATCCTACGTCAATACGGCAAATAAATGTCGGGATGACGCTTTCAACCGTAGCACAATTCGAGGGGAAACACCCTTGATGCCCTCAGGAAGTGACCACTCACAGCATCGGAGATGGTTTGGTGATCACGGGTTCGATGTGCGGCAGCTTTACTACACCCCAAAGCGGCTGCAGAGAAAACAAACATCATTAGATTATACCAACCACACTGACCAGGGGGAAGTTGCAGGGTAGGCGAAATAGTAACAGGCCAATCTCACACAGCACATCATAAGCTAAACTACCACCTCCACAGGATACACATCGCAATGTAGCATCTAATGACTGGAGCATGTGCGTTAAAGTTGCATCAGAAGGAGACAAGGCGTCGATAAGTGGCATCGGCACTGTACTGGCGCTGTGACAGTAGAATATATAAACAGTACTGCAAGTTCAGGACAAGTCAACAATGGAATCGTTCCACCAAATCCTCTGGACATGCAGAAAGCTTCCGGCATTTTACACCGATGACTACAGGGATCTTTTCTAAACCGCCCAAGGACAATTAACCCGTTCGAATGCGGAGGGAGATGGCCAAACAACAACGCAAGGGATTTTATGGACAGATACGAGCTGTCACTCCATATAAACTGGTGCGACCTAAAACCACTGCAGGCAGGACTCTTTTGTTCTCCACCCTACCACAAACGACTGCAAGCCCACGTGAAATTCTGTTGCACTTGGGGTTCATAATGGTAGACAGTCAGAATACCCCGTGAACCTTTGAACCAGCTGGAAAAAATGAGAGCCTGCATGGGTAACCTGGTGAAAAGACGGGTTGTCGCCTGTGGTGGGAACAAGTAACGTGGGGTTCACTGTAATATCTTCTTGATCGTCTGTCTGTCGATAGACTGGCTATCAAAGGAGCGAGAACGTTATGACGATCAGGCACGGGCCGACCTCTGCTATGTACTGGGGATTCCAACTTTCCCCGCAAAACTGTAATCAATATTATTTAGGTGATGGCCTGAAATCCGGTGGCCACGCATGGGATATCCTCCTTCTCTCTCACTGACCGGACGTTCCTAGTGTTCAGGTGACTTGAACCAGAACTGAGTAGTCATAGTCGCTGGGAGGAACAGAGACTGTCCAACACTGACAATGCGTACTAAAATAAAGCGGTGGATGTATACCCCTTACCATAACAACCGGCATGTCATTAATGATGGGTGGTATCGCCTTCGCACTGAACATTGCAAGTGGCTGGCACATATTTGTTGCCGAGTGACGACCACCAAGATCCCTTCAACTGGTGGCCATTACGTGAGACAAACTGGTGAGTACAACACTCAGGGCACCTTAGCCTCCATCAACCACGTTCTTTGAGTAACCCGAGCTGTTTGGAGTTCTGAAAAACTGAAAGGGCCACCTCTATGGGAGCCTGAAATTCCCTCGCACAAAAACATGATCAAACTAGCTCCCTGGCTAAATATGTGGGCCACTAAATTTTCCATTTTCCATAATGCTTGAAAATTTTTAACACTTTTGTTTGATCCAGTCATTTTGTTGTGTTCTTTGATCGCATCATATATTCAGGCATATTTCTAAGAGGTCTATAACCTATTGAGGTGCATTTATCGAAAAAGATGAAGAAGAAGCATAACGGTGAATGGCAACATGCTTTGAAGCAAATACCGTAATCCCATGTGGCTGGCTGAAATTCCAAGCATGAACTATAGACTCTTGTACGGAAAGGTGAATTGCTTAAAATCTCTTCTACCTTCTTATGTATATCTTGATACTGGAGTAAATGCATTACAAGAAGCTCGGCTGCTTGGCCTCTTTGATGTAATTTGCTTCTTTTTAAAGGCTTCAAATTTTTTGCTGGGATAGATGTGACTCTACAAGGAAACGGGGAGGGGTGGGATGGCAATAATAACAATTTACCGTCATCAGCACCCACTGGTAAAGTTCGAGTTATCTAGGCATCAATTTTTGAAGTGACCAAATAAACTAGTTCAGCGCAGAATTCGGCGTAATATTTCGGAACAAATACAACTTTATGTACATCGCGAATATTTATGTGACGTCCGGTTGCAGTTAGCCCGAATTATTTGGTTTCCCTCGCCTGGTTAACTAGTTTACTAGTTACTAGCCGGTCCTAAGCCCGGGTAAAGAGGGAAGGTTGGGCATAGGGCTAGCAACCCTACCCCGTAAAACAAATCTAACCGCTAAAGAAACTTCAAAGCACAAACAAAATATAAAAAATGAAAACAAACTTATTCCCCGCTGGAATCGGAGAGGCGAAATGACGCCAGTTGGTGAAAGCCTTCGGGAAGCCAATTGGCCGATGTGTCTTCTCTCGATGAAAGCGAAAGTAAACGTGGGAACATGGAATGTCCGCACGATGTTTGAACCCAGTAAGGCAGCCCAGATTGCAAAAGAGATGAGAAGGTATAACATCGAAGTGCTTGGGATTTGCGAAAGCAGATGGAATGGAAGTGGACTCTCCAAACTGTCAACT